GTCTACATCGTATTATTACCACATTTCTTTACAGAGGAAACAGCATTCTAGATACCCTTTTATCTGGTAGCATCTTGAGGCTCTATGCACAATGACCACCACAAATAGCATCTATACTTCTGAGTAGAAATGAGAGACCTGACCTGCGTCATCGCTCACATTTAGAGACTCAGTTAAGTGGGATACCACCCGAGACCTTGAGATATGAGCACATGTCTATATTTATCACCAACAGTCCTTTTTCCACAAACTCTTGCCACATGATGTCATAGTGTGGGCTACATCTCTCATGTCTAGTGCACCCATACAGTGAATAAGATTTTAATAAGATTTTAACGTGACAGTATAGCAGAAGCTGAAGACCAAATTGTGAGATAAAGCTCTCCAACAGCCGTTGTTTTATGCAGCACATTCACACCTCAGAAGTAAGTGTGGAGACACTTTCCTTTTTATGTTAGTGGCACTTTTAGGATTGAATGAAGTAGGTAGCCTAGTTAATACCACACTTAAGCCATCACAAAGCAGTTGGCATCAGAAGAAAAAAAAGGCTGGGAGTAGAGCAGAGTTTGTTCTTCTGGCAGTGCTGTTGGCTTATGATCTTTACAGGTTCATTAAATGTACCCTGAATAAGTTACCTGTAACTTGGTAATTTTATGAAAGCAGTGGTATGATATGATATGAGATGATATATGACCTATGATCACCTGCAGGCAGCAGAAGATAAAACTGATGATTCAGGAAGTTCCTTCTAGTTCCAGATTGTATGTATTTCTTCTCTGTAGTGGAAGATCCCTGATATATATTTGTATTTTCTATTATTTTTAAAATTTTGCCCCTGACACACCACTTCAAATTATTAATAAAAATTGAAAATTGAATTTTTCTTATGCACAAAGAGCTATTAATTCATTAAATACTTCAGCCAGAAATATTTTTGGCTGAAGGGCTGTTATGTTGGCATAAAAAAAGCAGTGGAAATGCTTATTTGGTGTCACTCAATACATCATGTAAGCTAACTTCTCCTCCCTTCTTCACTAACAAATGTTCCTGGTGATGTAATTAATTTGTTTCTTCTATGTCAATCATATATCTACTACACATTACAGTTAAAAGTAGTTCCACTCAGGCATCCAGCCTTACGTCAGTGAATACCACTGTTGTTCCACAGCTGTTTTTATGATCGTGGTTTGCCTTCTAAACAATCTAAAGAATTCCTGGAATGTGCAGCGTAACCAGTGATAACAGTCACAACAGGAGAAACTTTAACCAAGGAGATGTTTATGCTTTATTACTACAGAGATAGTTTTGAGACCTATTCTGTATTAGCAGAAGACAGTACATTACCCTATAACGAGTGAACCAGAAGCCTGGGAACGTTAATCTAGGGGATGGTGCAAGGCTTCTCTGTACTGTGTTCTCCTCACTTTCCAAGCCCCTCTAAGTGCCTGGGACACAACATGCAGCCAGGTGACAGAAGTGGCAAAAAGCCGGAATACTCCGGAAGCAATCAATCTGTATGTCGTGTTTTATCCAGGCCACACTAAAGCAAAGTTTCAAGAGCAGCTCTATATGTAGCTCAGAGGAACAGCAAAACCCTGCCTTCTGGTACCAAAAGGCTTTAAATGCACAATTGTGTCTCCCTAGCTTTTATAGATACCCTTGCATTGAAAACATTCAAATTCTTCCTTGAAATTTCTTTTTCAGAAGAACTGTATTCATAGCACTTTCCTCTCAGGAGTACATTCCGCTCAGGAGCAAAGCATGGTTTAGAAGATTATTGTTAAAGCCAGATGTCAGACATTAAGAAAATGACCTTTTTGGTAAATGCTGATTTCTGGTAACTCCTAGTATGAAAGCTGAAAACCAGCCATGAGATGCTTGTGCTGCAGCGGTTCAATGGCATTTCTGTCACTGATCATCCTGAGAGACCGGATTCCAGTCAGGCCAAGTACCTGTGACTAACTGGGTGCTCAGTTATGGAAATGTTGGTTACATTACATTGTCAGTATTTAATAACAACACAGGTAAAATACACCATGGTGAGCTCCTCTTTCCACTTACTTCACATGGGAGGTAATAAGTATGTTAAAAGGAGCATACTGTTAACAGTAAGACAGTGGTGTAAATGTTTGTTGTGTCTGTTACCTAGTAACAGATTTTGATTGTATTTTAACCTTATTAGCAAGCTTACTATGTGCATTTTAACTGAAAATATAGGAAAGACATTATATCTGTTTATGAATGAAAAGAGAATAAAAGAGTACCCTATCTGCTACCATTACCAAAACCTGCTGGCATATTTAGCATGTATTTCAGGATACTCTTTAGATTTTTGTTCAGAGATAAACAAGTTTTTCATCCAGAATATGCTGTAGTAGAGCATCAGGATACTAACATGATGGTAATTTGGGCATACATAATAAATTTGTTTCTGTCCTCAAATGAAGCACCATGAGCATTGTACCTCATTGTAAGTAACGATCAGAATTAGACAGCTGCCCATCCATTAATGTACCACTGCTCCAAATAAGCTATAGTTTTGGAGAAGCAGAACAGTCATTAGCAGGAGTTGCTGTAATATCCTAGAAGAAAGAAAATTGCAGTACTGAGTATTCAAAATGCAGCACTCACTTATGACAGAAGTGCTCTTATTCTGCTGGATCCATTTACTATTCTCTAACAGAAAGACCTGCCTCTCTCTCTCTCTCTCCTTGTTATCAGACTATTTAAGACTTTAAACCTACCATCCTGTAGTCAGCTCTGGCATTCACTGGCAGACAGAACAATTCACTAAGCAAAACCACAGAGGTACCTTTTTTAATCTAAAGAAAGCAGGCAGAAGGGCTGGTGAACATGAAGTAATGTACATCTTTATTACAGTAACAATGAACAAACTCACAATGAACAGCTACTGGCACTCTGAAAACCCCCTAGGAGGGGGCAACTTCCAGTGATTTTACACTGAATCACCGATGAATATGCTAGAACACATTTTAACGTGGAAATATACCTCGTCTACTTTTGACTGAGAAGTAAAATTTAACAGGAATCTTTCCTTTGCTCCAAGCCTTCAAGGACGGAAGATTTCAATTTACCACTATTTGATCAATATATTTTCCTCTCTAAGCAATTAGTCCAGAAATAGACTCACTGACTGATCTCACAAGCTATATTTAAAACGAAGTTCTGAACATTCTGAAATACAAGAGTCACTCTGTAATTTCAGAGCAGTTGTAGTATCTTACCCCCTGTAACAGGCTGCCAGAAATGCTCCTGGGTAATGCCCATCACCATTTGTTCTAAAGGTATCAACTTTCTGGCTGTAGCAGGTAAGTCAGGACATTTGGGCTTTGATTTCTATTTGATACACCACTTACATTTCAACTCTGGAGGCAGTAATTCTGGATATATATTGACTCTGTACATTTTTATTAAGAGGTTCCCAACAATGCATGGAATTAGCTGCCATATTTTATCCAGAATAAACTATCAGGTGGATGTGAAAACTATTCCCATAAAATATCCACAGGTTTTAGCATGAAGGATTCCAGCATTTTCTCTTCAATGTTCAAGTTAGCAGAGGAGATCAAAACATGTTTTCTGTGGAAACAGAATGAAATTCCATATTGTGTTGCTGGTAGCACTAGAATCAGCTGCAGAGATTGAAGATAGGAAATAGATCCCTGGACATGGATCCAAAAACCAACCAAGGCTCCAAAGAAACAATTATTTTCAACATTGCAGTCTGTTGCAAGTGATCATCTTAGTTATGTTTTTTTAATTAACATAAATGGAACAAGAAAATTTTTCAGGATATCCAAATAGAGGGTTTTTCTGTTTGCTTTTTTTTAAAAAAAAAGTTCTGCAATCTGTTTGGATTACTAAAGCTTTCCCAAAGATATATCAGACTGCAGGATGGAATTCAGAAAATTTTCTAAGTATGCCTTTGAAAATAATACAATTTTTCCCATCAATTTATCAATACCATTTTTTTTTCCATTTTGGTAGGAATAAATGTCTGTGTTAACATTTGATCATAGTGTAAACTGGTATTTCTTGGTCAGCATGCCGGTCAGAACATAATAAAATCCAGTGTGTACAAGTAACGTCATTGTTCATGGTCAAAGGGTTAGATATGACTTTATTTATACCACATCTAAGGCTAAAAGACATGGTTTAATTTTAAGATGCTACAGGCATTAATAAACCAATTATCAGTGATCTTCATGAGACCTATATTTTAAATCTGGTCTCTCCTGTTATTATGTGATGATTTATATCATACTTTTTATGTATGCATGCACTACATTTTCCAAAGTAGGACTGCAGGTGGACAAATAGCAGCTTGTGCCAGTGACTGTCAAAAAACTAATGAATGAATATTATTCCTACCCCAGCTGCAAATTATGAATCACGACACCGATTACACGTGGGCAGAAGCATCATTCCTCTTCAACAATAACATGGATACAACATAGCATGTCAGCGGCAGGTAGAACATCTCCGATAATTTACAGTTGATGGTCAAGCCTGAAAATCAAACCACTTGGCTGACAAATTGTCTCATGAGGAATTGCTTTCGCTACCTCCTGTGGCATTTCCCAGGTCGGCCCCTGAGAACACCCACTGCGGTGTTCCTCCCTTGGAAGCTTCCTCAACATCCCCCTTTATCAAAGGACTTCACAGTTAGCACCCAGCCCAGCGCAGCATAAGCTCGGTGCCGCCAGCGCGGCACGGGAGCGCAGGCGTTTCTCGCGAAACACTCGTCGCACCGAGGAGTTTCCATCAGCCTCCCCGCGCCTCCCTCCGGCACCGGCCGGCGCCCGCGACCCCGCCACAGCCTCGGCTACGGAGCGCGGCTTTCCCGGCATCGGCTC